GTAGAGGAGGTAAGAATTGTCAGACTCTAGACACTGGCGTTCAAGACACTCCTGACACCGAAGAGGGGACTTATCTGGCCCACGAGGATGTCCTGTTTGTTTTGAGGGTAAAAAATAACATTTATGTATGGTTGCTTAATAGTTCAGCAGTGTTTTCACTCCTGAGAGAACCACATTGTCCTACACATTAATGAGATTAATCTATAATTGAAGGTTACTTTTCTTTTTAAAACTTCAGAATAGACTATTAAAGACTATTCTCCATTTCAAACATTTAATACAGTAACTAAAGGCTTAATTACTTCATATTTTTTGTTTAGATTAATTTTGGAAGATGCCATACAATTGAATCTTTGCTGATACTTCAGTGTGTCCCGCTCATTGCTGGGTTCCAGTATTCAAATATATTCTATTTCATTTCATCAAAAGCGCCGATGGTTTGATTATATTATTCCAGACAATTTTAATACTAAGTAGGTAAATATAAGTAGAACATGTATGTCTCAAACCTAATTTTGGCAAGAGATCCTTTCCAACATGATCCACCTTTCTTTTTACCATTGTTCAATATTTTTTTTATGTTTTATTTTATCAAGGTGATGTCTTGCCTTTTATACAGAAATGACTTGCTGTTTTTAAATAAAAATCAATTTTACTATTACCATTATCATCTTCATGCCGAAGATAATCTCGGAGAGCTCCCCCATGATATTCAGGGCGTTCGCGTTTCCATACCCAGTGATCTGGTTCCAAATCCATAACCTAAGTAAGAATTAGTGAGATGCCAATTGATATATCAGTTCAGATACTAAATTTTATAACATGGTTTATTTGATTATTCACATAGTATGCCAATGAAAATGTTTTATGATGGATTGTTTAATAGTGCTACTGAAAGTAAGGCACCAAATTTTTTGGGGGGTGATGTAGTATACATATCAAGACATTTCTGCATTTCGTCTTCAAACACCATTATATTTTGTTTTATTTTTTTCCACATTTGAAGTTTATTGTTAATGAATTAGAAACAATTTACTTTAGGCATATTTTATTAGACATAAATATAAGAGCCCTCTGAAATTTCTATTTTATTTAGTTTGCCATTATTGCAACACTTCTAGGGCCAACAGACTCTGTGATCACAATAAAATTATTAATCAATTAGTTCTGATAATAATGTAGAGTGAAACTGATTTATGTGGACATGGCCATTTTCATACCATTCTCAATTGATCAATAAAGTAAACTTTGCATTTAAATTTTGCTCAAGTTAATAGATTTATAACCTGAGATCAAACAGGTTACCATAATCAGATGTATGTGCCAGGTAATATTTTGCACAATAAGTCTTTATACAAAAAAAATGTGTAATTCATTGCTTTTATCTTGGACATGGGTCAATGCAAAAAACTGAAAGTGAAACTGAAAGGAAGCAGAATTTGTCAGATGATGAAAATGAATGTTGAATTCTGAAAGGGAAAATTGTTAAGCCTATTCTATAAGAGTAGCCACACAAAACGTACAGCACACTGAAAACTCATAACTGAAATTGAAAATGACTGTAATATTACCTGATCACAGCATTTCTTAGACACAACAGCTCTGCAGTCAATGGCCCAATAAATATCATCACGCTTCTGTAAGAGAGTTGGATATGTCTTGCGCCATCTGCGACCAAGCACCCATGGAAACACCTCGTACTTTAGCTCTTCCTCATCTTCTTCCATATCATGGGCGAGATACCTGAAATTGGGACCCACCTTGAACTATTTGTCGTAGTAAAATAACAATATGAACCAAAATGAACAATTATTTTGTATATCTTTTAGTAGTAAAATGAAGATTTGAAAAATGCCATTTGCAAGTCTTTGCAATGTCTAGAGTGCATTGTATTAAGATATACACAAAAGTATTAATGTGGATGATTAATTATTATAACTTTAATTACATAATATATTCCTCAATATAATGGAATTGCAAACTTACAATCCTGCAAAGAAATTTTCCTTGGTGTATTCATGAAACTGAAGTCTTGATCGTAGAAAATAGGTAAAGACCATAGCTATAAGGTATTTGTCTGCATATCTGCGGCACACATCAGCATTCAAGAACTTCTGGATCAGTGGGTCATCTATTAAATAAATTAAACTACATTAACTATAAGAAAATCATTCAATCAGTGGGGCTAACAGCAAGGAGGGAGCATTGCAATAACCACCCTTAGTTTTCAGGCAAGAGGTTCCTTCTTGGCAAGCTGTCAATTAGGCCAGCAGCAAGAAACAATCCCTCTGCCCATCTCATGGTGTAGTTGATGACATATCCCATGATTCAACACAAAGGCTTGTTGCAAAAGGCATCAAGGCAAGGCTTTAAGGCATAGGAGAAAGTCAAAGTTTTACTTCCATGCAGTGAAACCTGATATCAGAACCTTAAAGGCACATAGCTTGGTTCTTTACATGTACTGGAATCTCCAACCACCCTTGTTGAGTAAGCTCATGGTATCAGCTGCCTAGCTAGTAAGTTTATTGACTTACTGATCTGACAGTCCTGAGCTATGCACTGCACTAATCAAGATATGTAAAGCTCTGCACGGCTTTCGAATTCCTTGCAACAAGCATGTGCTAAATGTTTAGGTTTTCCTAGCAGACTCCCAAACTCTTTTGGATCTTGTACCTGGTCCAAGGATAGACTGTAGAGATTCACACTCAATTTGGTGTTATTCTGCAATTAATCTCATCATGAGTAAAGACTACTGCTCTTGTCCCCCTGTGGCCACTAAACCATAGGCAGGTGAGGATTAAGTGAATGCTGTTGACTTCTCTAAATTTTGTAAAAGACACAACTGAAACTCCTTTTGTGACAAAGGTCCAGATGAAGATCACCGTACACCCCCTTTCCAATAATTAAGTAAAGCTAGATGGTAAGCTGATCCCCATATTGAAGAACAATATTCTAGTCCTGGAGTTTACCAAAGTCTGTATACGCAATAATGAGAGACAAAGCCAAACATGTGCCTCGGTCTCGGTACCATAATTCAATCACTGACTCAAGGTCACTCTATAACCAAAAGTCAAAGTCTGCTGAGGATCGGGTTTTAGAAGATGGTGACCAATAATGGGGTAACCACCACTAACCGTGCTTAATAGCCTATCCAGTACCCTCGATAGGAGATAGATTTGATCTTCCTGCTGCAGAGGGTATGTGTCCTACGCCCCCACTCGCTAGGCCTTAATGAGGTTACACCCAGAGCAGCCACTTGGGATGGATGCTACTAAGTCTAGAGTTCCCTTGATTGATGCGTGTGTGTGTATGCGTGTGTGTGTGTGTGTGTGTGTGTGTGTGTGTGTGTGTGTGTGTGTGTGTGTGTGTGTGTGTGTGTGTGTGTGTGTGTGTGTGTGTGTGTGTGCGTGCGTGCGTGCGTGCGTGCGTGCGTGCGTGCGTGCGTGCGTGCGTGCGTGTGCGTGCGCTGCGTGTGCACTTGCACACTAGTCCATGCCTACAGATTACTATGAGTGTTCTTCATACGCTTTCCCTCTTTAAGACTTTGGTATCTTCACATAATCTCATTCAACAACCCTACAAAATGGCTCGTGTTGGAAAATATTACCATGAGATATTTACCATTGTAAACTTTATATCCAAACTAACGAATGGAGCAGTAAGTTAGGTGTGAAACAGTGTTAACATCCAAGCCAAGATACCCTAAATCCAGTGGCTTCTATTATTTACGCTATATATAACAATATAGCTTATCCTCTCATTACATTTAACGGTATACCGCCATGATAGCGCTCTGGGGCATTCCGCTACTGCGGATGTGGGCAGTGGAGACAGAAAGAGTAAATTAATACCATGCTATGTCTGTGTTACATTATATTCTATTTAGTCTGTATATATTTTTTATTAAAGACTATTTTGTCTTTTGGACTAAGAAAAATATACGCACCAATGAGTTCACCGAATCTGCTAAAGTGCTTGTGTGTGACGTATACGTCTCCAGTAGAATTGTCCCGTCGGCTGCGTCGGAGAATTTTCCTGGGCTTGTGATTCTCGCTCTTGTCGCTCTCGTGTTGTCGGCGTTGGCCTGCTCTTGTAATCTGAAGAGGTCGTTTTTATTTTGTAGCGAGTCTAATGAGTATTCATAAATACGGACAGCCATATACACATTGCTGTCTATCTGTTAGGTATACATGCATGTGTCTGTCTAAGTGGTTGATATAAATGTTAGACTGATAGTAATGCATTTATTTCTGTCCAAGCACACTGTTGACCACACCGGCCTATTGAGGCCTCTAACAGATCTGCGATCGTGATTTCATGATTTCCAATGGTCAATACACAAATTCAGATTCACACAGCGACTTAAAAAAGTAGTGGTTGTAAGCCAAATTATGTTTCATAATGAAACCAATATAAAAGTGATTACTGGGCATGGAGATAGACTATTTCTATAACAAACACAGAGTCGTGCATTAAGAAAAACACTTACTGATAGTTTCGAGAATTGCCTTGGGCGTTCCTGAGTCTCGGGATGAGCGAACTGCTTGAATTCCGAGAGCGGTCTCACCCCCAGAGGCGGACGAGGACCCTGTTCTTGCTTGCTTTCCTCCAGTTCTTGCTGGCGAAAGTTTCGAAGCAGAGACACGGCCGTCGGTGCCTTGGGCAAGGGAGGGATGTTTTCTTTATCGCGCGCCGACCCCTCCGGACAGTTGAGCTTCCTGCGGTTTCTCGGACTAGGGGGTTGCTTTGGAGGCCGTGCTGGCGAGGTGGGCTTGCGGTGTTCCGGTGAAATGCTGTTCCTCAGTTGAAAGAAGCTGAGAACCCTTTTCAAGACCGACCTCGTAGACTGGGCCACCTCTCGCTCACACTCTGGGGCTAGATCCTGCGGGTTCCCAGAGTGACACAGGCTTTCCTTGCGTTTACCGTTGACTGGTGTGTCCTGCTGAGAGGCCACCGGCTCCACGCAGCCAAGGTCTGCACATGCAAACTGAGAACGGCGA